GGTTTTGGACATACCCAGGAAAGCCAGGAACCTGGCTGAGAAGCAGAAATGATAAACCAAGAAAAAATTTTAAAGATAAATTACTTTGCTAGTAAGAAAATTCAGTGCCACTATGACACATGACTTAACATTTTAGCACGTTTTCCCCCCAGTTTTATGCCCATTATCTGTATAAATAATACACCTGCATTTACAGACTCTATGTGAGTGCCAGTGTACATCCTCAGATGCCATCTCAGCCAGGTCTCTATGCCAAGCTCACTGGTGCCTTATAGGGCCCAGGCAACCCTACCCACCCTATGAGCTATTCCCCACACTCCGATGGTCCTTCTTAGTATGTAGACCAATCTTCAACCAAAGACCAGCCAGCAGCCCCAAGCAGTGCCTCCCTGAATCCTTGTCAGCCACCTACCGGGACCTGCTGCACCTGGGGCGCAGCCACTGTCTGCACCGTGGCTGGGGCGAGGGTCTGCAGCGTGCCATTGGCCGTCTGCGTCAGCACCCGCTGGGCCTGCACTGTCTGCACCTGCTGCTGGATGGTGACCGGCTGCACCTGGGAGGATGTCACTAGGCTTTGGACTTGAGGCTGAAGGACTTGGGAGAAGAGGAGAAAAAAGTCACATGGACGAGGAACGCATTCTGTCACTGCAGCTGCAGCAATAACCGAGGATGGAGTGGCTCCTAATGATCCCGACTCCCCACCTGCTGCTGAGAAGACGTGCACAGCCATTTACAAGCTGCTCTCATAACAAGAACATCCCAGAAGGGCCGCATCCATTTCTGAGGGAACGAGTGCAAATTATTTTATTATTCTGGGTGCTGCGGTGAAGGCGAGGGAAGCTAATCAGCGAATGACTGTGCCCAGCAAGGGAGTTAACAGACTGAACAGAAAGTGTACTTAGGGATGACTGTCTCAGTGTTTTGCCTGTATGCTTCCCCCCATCCCCTAAACCAGGGGTGGGGAACCTTTTTTTCTGCCAAGGGCCATGTGGATATTTTTAACATCATTGGAGGGCCATACACAATTATCAACTTAAAAATTAGCTTGCTACATTTGGTCAAACATTGAATTAACTCACCCCTAACACCTTGGCAGGGCCAGACCAAATGATTTCTCGGGCCTGATACAGCCCTTGAGCTGGATGTTCCCACCCTGCCCTCACCCTTGAACCCCACTGTAGCACTGTCAGAGCATGCTAACCCCCCGGGGCTCCCCATAGGGCAGAGGGTATCTGAGGAAAAGGCGCTGGGACACAGCACAACTGGGAAAGTCACTCCTTCACTCAGCACACTGAGGGCCTGCTACTCGGAGACTCAGCACCTCCGCTGAAGTCATATTCTCTGCAATGGATGCTCAGGAGATGTTTGCTGAATGAAGAGCTCGCAGCCTACAGGTGCCAAGGGCTGGCTGTTGCCTGGGTAAGTTTCAAGCCTAATTTTACTCAAGCCTCCATCGGTAGTTACCAGGACAGCCCTGTGTCTACTTGCTTGCTGGCAGGCACAACAGCTATTAAGGCACTTGAAGAGGCAGCGTATGAACTGTTCCCGGACCACAGTTCTGACTGGCAGTTACCAAAACCTCATTGAGACAGAACTATTTACAATCTACCTCGGAAGTATCAGCAAACTGACACACAAACTTTTCAACCACCGTCACCGCCACATCCGACCTCTGAATCACCTTGGAAGCTGGTAGCCGCATTCTGGTATATCAGAGGCTGCTGGATGATCCTCGTCTGGGGAGCAGTGCTGAATGTTGGGGTGATCATTACCGTCTGCTGCTGCAGCTGAGCTTGAGGCTGGGGCTGGGGGCGGGGCTGAAGAACAGGAGTTGCCCTTGGCGGGTTAGGAACCGAGGTGGGGGAAACCTTGACCTGCAGGGCGGCAGCCTGGGGGGAGGTGGCTGAGGGAGAGAAGGACGGTAATGGGGCCTGGCTGAAGGAGCGCTGCATCGAGGGCTCCCCGGCTCCACCACCGCTGCCCCCGCCATTACTGCTACTGCTGCCGCCGCCGCTGCCGCCGCCACTTCCGCCGCTGGGGAAGGAGCCACACAGCTGCTCCGAGAACAAGTCAGGAAACTCTCCCACTTGATTGCTGACAAACTGCAGCATCTCTGTGAACAAATGAGAAGCAGCCATTTTATTGACATCCAAAATATTTACTAACTTTCAAATTTGCTTAAGAAACAGGCATGAATGCCGTAACCGGTTTGGCTCAGTGGATAGAGCGTCGGCCTGCGGTCTGAAAGGTCCCAGGTTCGATTCCGGTCAAGGGCATGTACCTTGGTTGCGGGCATATCCCTGGTGGGAGATGTGCAGGAGGCAGCTGATAGATGTTTCTCTC